GTTTAAAACACATAATGACCTTGATATGGACAACTATAACTAATATTATGTTTAAAACACATAGTTACCCAGATATAAACAACTATCACTTACGTTTAAAACACATAATGACCTTGATATGGACAACTATAACTAATATTATGTTTAAAACACATAGTTACCCAGATATAAACAACTATCACTTACGTTTAAAACACATAATGACCTTGATATGGACAACTATAACTAATATTATGTTTAAAACACATAGTTACCCAGATATAAACAACTATCACTTACGTTTAAAACACATAATGGCCCTGATATAGACAGCTATAACTAATATTATGTTTAAAACACGTAGTTACCGAGATATAAATAACTATCACTTATATACGTATAACTATATACGTTTTAAACACATAATGACCCTGATATGGACAACTATAACTAATATTATGTTTAAAATACATAACTGATGTTGGACTACACCGAATCTGATACTTAAAAGGTACCTAGAATTCTGATGAATCTCGACATTTTTAATTTTGTCATGTTATTAATTACTGAAGAGGTAAGTAAGTTTGTCCCCATCTGAAACCTATTTATTAATACCACAAACCTCCAGCTCAGTTTTTTTGGTTCAGTCAGTCTTAAAAGCCGGTATAAGTTTATACGAGTTTCAAAGTACTTCAAAAAATATTCCAACTGTAACTGTTTTAATTTAAACTTAATTAACTAAGCAATCCCTAATTTATGTAACTATAACCTTTCTGTCAAATTTTGTCTAAATTCGTAATTTTGACACAACACAACAATTCATTCTTGACAACGAGGGTCCTAATATCTTGAGTCTAAATGCTCACTTACAACTATTACGGCGAAGGAAATACAACTAAGTTAATATTACTTCAATCTTAGTAGCCATGGAAACGTTTCTGGAATTTCCACAGACTCATCACTACACGATATGAACTGAAACCCAAACTCGTCCAATACATTATCCAATAAAAGCAAAGGCTTAACTGGTAGCTAATCAACTACGAGATTCTTATTACAATCCAGAAAATGTTTTAGCAATGTAGTCGGCAGATAATCCACAGTTTTAAATGAAAGTTTTATGAAAACCTTTCAGAGTTACACTTTTTTTAAACCAAACAAAATTTACAGCATTCGAACGCAATAGATTTTTTTGGCTACAGAATCTGACCAGGAAGGTCGCGAGTTCGAATCCCATCCGATCTGAAATTTTCAATTCTATATTAAATTCTACCATCAGACAACGGTGCGTCACCGTTAAAATTGCTATGGATGTGTGAAAGAGTAGGAGATGTACCCACTAAAGAGTAAATAACAGATGTGTAAAATTCTTGCTTTCGATTAGCGCCATGTTAGGGCAATTAAGACTGTAATATCGCAAGGTTTCTGTACCAAAGTGGTTGCCCTTTAATCCGAAGCACGACCTCCTTCTATCTTTACAAGTTCCGAAGTACACACGCTAGTTTTATTTCATGATGAACTACCTCTGTCGTTTCTAAACAACTTATAGCTTCAGTTAGAGACTGAAGCAAACATTCAAACAGATCTTTTTCCCTAGGGCAAATATTGATTTGAGCTTCCTCTAAATACTACTGCTGATGTCACCAACGAAGTGATCATTGCCTTATCTATACGTACATAAACAAAATCAGTGGGCCGTAACGAGACATAACATACACGAAAAGTGCTCTAACTAGTGCAGAAGCCATATCCATTTTAAGTCCGTCCGTGACATGTTCTTTGCCCATACTCTACTATTTCACCAGACAGAATTCTTGTTGCGACTTAACACGACTTTCATACCTGACAATATGTCTCCACCTAGAGTTAACGGAACTTGTGTGTGTGTGTGTGTGTGAAATAGAAAAAAATAACTTAAAATAATGACTGAATAATAAAATAATATTACACGGAAAATAATTTAAAATAAAGACTGAAGAATATAAATAACATTACACGGAAAATAATTTAAAATAACGACTGAGGAATAAAATAACATTACACGGAAAATAATTTGAAATAACGACTGAATAATAAAATAATATTACACGGAAAATAATTTAAAATAACGACTGAATAATAAAATAATATTACACGGAAAATAATTTAAAATAACGACTGAAGAATAAAATAACATTACACGGAAAATAATTTAAAATAACGACTGAAGAATAAAATAACATTACACGGAAAATAATTTAAAATAACGACTGAGGAATAAAATAACATTACACGGAAAATAATTTAAAATAACGACTGAAGAATAAAATAACATTACACGGAAAGTAATTTAAAATAACGACTGAAGAATAGAATAATATTACACGGAAAATAATTTAAATAACGACTGAAGAATAAAATAATATTACACGGAAAAACTTGTTTGCTAGTCACAAGTAACGTTTAATATCAAAACTAAAACCACAAGCTTGAAGTAAATATCAAAATATCCACTCCATGTCTGTGTATAAAACAATGACCACGTTACGTAAAAATGTTTGTGAACAAAAGTGAAATATTATAATTATCATAAATAACAAACAGTATATAATAGTGTCCTCCAAAATCTCAAAATAACTGAAATGAAAACTTTTGTGTAAAATTTCAAAACAGTATCATACACCCACACTGAAAGTGAGAAATTATATCTTCTTGATACATAGTAATTGGTTATCTGATCATGATCAAAATATATTGTATACAATAAAATCACGTTCTTTTCTAGATACACGCTTTTCAAGATCATCTTGAATGCTTTGATATTTTCTATGCAAAACATATGTCTTCAATAAAAACGTTATTGTTCATACTTGTATTGTATACATATTAACAATGTGCAGTAAAACACGAGTACAAATTGATTATTTCCCCTTGAATAAAAAAAATATTGTTCATACATATATTGTATGATTAACACTTACTATTTATACCCCAAGTGTTATTTTTTTAAATTATACAGAAGGTATTGATTACTGAATATCTACTATAAAATGCTCCACAAATTATTATACGGTGAAATTTGGCATCTACGCATTTTCCAATTTTCTTTTACTGTCGCATCTAATGAACTTCAATATTCGGTGGCATTCTTTACTTCCACACTTAATGAACTTCAACAAAGAATATACTCGAACAGTTTCGAGGTGTTTATTACAAATCCTTCGCCCCTAGGGTTCAGTGGCTAGTGTCCTGTTACTGCCAAGAACTATCGCGCTTCGCTCTATAAGAGCATGGGTGTGTTATTAGAATGACAGTCAAATCCAACTATTCAGTATGAAAAGAACAGCTCAAGTGTTTTCAGTGGCCAGTGTTGACTAGCTAGTTTATCACATCAACTTTAGGGACGGCTAGAGCAAATAGCGCTCGTGTAACTTAATGCAAAATACAACAAACAACACTAATTTGTAAATTTCACAGCGTTGGAGGGCTTTATTTTTAACACCACATACTTTAAATCACTTTTCTAAATCTATAAATAGCATATAAGCAAACTCTACAAAACAGTATTCATAATTCTTCGGTCCGGTACAACACATATCCACAATCAGTAGTTCTGTAATCCCAGTTTGCTTTGACAGTGACATCTATTGACTAAAGCATTAATTGTAATAACAATCAAAATAATTATTTAATATTTTTAGTTTATTTTTATCTTACTAAATGATCCTGCAGCAAATGGGACATCAGTTCTGATTATCGAAATGGTTATATAATTCATGAACATTTATGAAATTCAAATATATTCAGTATTCAAATATATAATATACAAAAATTATATTTTCTTATGATAACGTTCATTCTACCATTATAACGTACCCTATTCAACATATTCGTTTAATTCAACATTCAATGGACTTTTGAAAAGATCTAAACAAAATACATGACGTAGAATGCACATTTCTGCAAACTTCAGGTTATCACTTAAACAAAAATAGATGTTCAATCAAATCCAAGAAAACGTAAAACCTGTAATTGAACATAATACGTTTTCCAAAACTAGTTACTTAAAAATACTGTTTTCTTTCGGTTGACCACGCTTCACAATACTGTGGAAAATCATTTCATTCAAACACCCACGTTAACAACATTAGTATTTACTTCAAAATACGAATAACTGAAGTATGCTTTAGATAAAATTTTTGTTAAATCATAAAGTTTATTACTTGCAGATAAAGACATTGTACTCAAACGTTTAAATGCAACTGTTTTTTTTTCTTAATGTAGTGTCCAATTAAGTATTCTATATTATCAATAGATGTCACCACCATACCAACATATACTTATTCTGCAAATCATCAAGCCTGAACGTGAAAAAAAACTTGTCATTCGAATTTACACTCAACAGTATAAAAGTTTTGGTTTTATTTCGCTAGAAAACATTTCTAATAATGCACATACGGTGAATTTAAAAGAATGTCACATTTATATCTGTTACAGGATACGTTAGTGTTTGACTTTTAAATCAATCTGTCAGATGCATGGACATTTAGCATACGCTCTATGATAGCTACGCAATTATGAAAATACATATAACTAAAGGAATTCACTACTGACTGCTCAAAATTCTCATTCAATAGTAAAGTAAAATGTAAATGATGCGTCTATTTATCGTGTATGAATATAGATAGATGAATATTCACAAATCAATGACGAATAGGCAGCCTATTGTTACTGCGGGTGATCGTTAGTTCTCTATTAACAACATAAAAAGGAGAATTTTAATCTTTTCATCACTACGGATTAAATTATTAACATTTTCTAAATTATCACACAGACACAAATATCTACTTCTCAAGTTCGTCTGCTTCTGAAGTTGCCGGGCCTCTGTTAAAAGTCGACTAATGGCGGCCGACAGTTTGGTTTCCTCGTACTTCATAACTTAGTTTCCTGAGCTCAGGCTAGAGCATAAACATTACCCAAAGTAGAAGCAAAATACAAGTAAGAGAAAAATTAGTTGTTGTATGTTTAACAATATGTTGTATGTTAACTGCATCTTTTTCAGTTTCGCTTGAAGCACTTACCCGATTTGAGTGACAGGTACTCGTTAATCCATAATATTTACTTTCCGATTCTATACATTTAATTCACGTTCATTTTCAGAATACCGAAGTTGTTAATCGTATTTTTTTTATTGTATAAAAACTATCACCAGGTTAAATATTGAAATACTCTGTTCCTTATTTTTACTTTCCCCCGTCACACTTCGTAATTTCTGATGAGGTATGTATAATTTTAAAATTTCTAACGTGCCATCTAATTTAGACTGGTCCTGTCTATGTTAGGCCTGTAAATTCAATTAGTGATCTTATTAATATCCTTTGAATATCCAAGAACCTTTTAATTTCCGCATGTCTGCAAAAGACGTTTCTCTCAGTTTGTATGAAAATCGTAATATTTAAACGTTTTTTTTTTCCTACATAATAATCGCTATGAATAACTATCGTCATATGAAAGAAAAAACGAACCATCTCTAAGACATTGTTTATCATAGTTGTAGTTCCTTATATCCATCCTCCCATACAGGTTATACACCTAGATCCCAATGGTAATTTAAGCAGTCCCAAGACCCCCCCCCCCCTTCATCTAATTAGTGTTGTGGTGAAATTTCGTTAGATTAGGCCATTTTATAATAGATAACATCGTTTTTTGTTGTTGTTTTATTAGGTCAACACATTGGTAGACTTTTAGTGTAGTATCATAGAACATGATACATTTTGTACAAATTTTGTTTTACAAAATTAAAAGTGTTTCGGATAAACAGTTGTCGAATTGTTCATGATATTGTATAGTCATGGGTTTACGAGTCCTCGTGCACAACCACCGCTCCACCCCTGCCCTCGAAATCTACTTGTTTGGTATTTCCCGATTCCATATTCATAGAAAATCCTTATTAACATTAAATATTTTGGGATGCGATATATATATATAGGGGGCTCATGAAATCTGACACTACTTATAGCTCTGTTCCAGTTCTAAAATTAGGGGTAGGATAACCAATTTCACCACCATTAAACATATTATTTGGTATCGAATGACAGTTTATAAAATAATCTAAATGATAAAATAGGTTTTATCTCACACTATGCACAGGGCATACAAAACCGGTTTTGAAGAATTTTTATTGAACAATTAAATTCAAAATTAGAAAGGACATAAAAAGTGTCAATGTTCTGTTAAAATATTAGTATGTTTCACCATAAGCAAATCACTTTATTGTGCTTATATATCGTTGTTTGTTTATTGTTTATTTGAAATTAAACACAAAGCTACGCAATGGGCTATCTGTGCTCTGCTCACCACGGGCATCGAAACCCGGATTCTAGCGTTGTAAGTCCGTAGATATACCGCTGTACCACTGGGGGCATCGTTGTTTGTCCGCTTATTATATATATTAGCATAATGAGCTTCATTACTGTGGTATTAAGAAAGAACATTATTAAACAAACAAACCTATCAAATATTAATATCGCCTTCATGTAAAGTGGTGTATTTTGTTATTCTCTTGTAGTTAGAATTTAAAACACAGCTTACTTCTCTGAACAGTCATATTAACATGATTTGGGATTTCATATACTACATATTCATTAGTTTCTGCAACATTTAGTTTCACATCTGGATACTGAAGTACATATGTGCTGCATTCGATACCATTTGTGTTATTTATATCTCATTTTTGGTTGATACAAATGTCCTTGTTTGGTAAAGTTTATTAATCTATTATTTATTATTCTTAACATTATCAATGTAAGTCTCTTTATTTGTTATTTAAAGCAATATTTACAATTAACAAGTTTCTTCTTTACTATTATTCTCACCTATAAAGGTATCTAAACCTCCTGCAATACAAACACAATAATTACATATAGTCAATTTAAATATCTTTACACTACAGATGAAGCACAGATGTAATCAGGGGTTGAAGCTGAAGCAGGGCAGAGCAACAGTTCTTTTCAATCCCATGATGCGCAGCTGCTAATAATAAGAATTATTAGTATTATTGTATTGATTTAAAATATTTCCTTGTTAGAACTTGTATTAAAACTTTACAGTAATAACAATAATTAATTAAAACTGGACACATATTAACGCTGACTGACTAGTGCACAATTTCAATGCAAGTATTGTAAAATACACTTATGTAAAACAGGGGGAGGGGGTGTTTCAGTGAAGACGCCTTCCCGAGTTTCCGCATTTCATTTCATCTCGAACTACTTTATTCCATATCAAGTATTAAACGAATAGCAGAACTTTTAGCCAATCAGAATCTGAATTCATCACATCTTTTACGATTGTTTTATCTAACAAGTAGTGTCTTTATGTGTACTCCTTGAAAAG